CAACCCGAACACCACCCGCTCACTAGAACAATCCGTAAACACTCCAAACTTGCGCTCCCCCCCCACCAACCCACCGCGCACACCGCAACCCCCCTCTAAACACCACCATCCATGGCTACATCCTCCAACCCCCTCGGTCCCGGCCCCCGCTACGGCCTGGGGCGCACAGCAGCACCCTCTCAACCCGCCGCGCAACCCGGCTTCAGCAGCACACCGGCCTACGCCCCGAACCCCAAAAACGCCCAACGCCTCGAATCCGACCGTCTCGAACGCGAGCGCGCCGCCCGCGAATCCGCCCAGCGCATGGAAGCCTCCGGCGCGGCCTCGCTCGCCGAGCTAACCGAGGAGCAACGAGAAGAAATCGGCGAAGCCTTCAACCTCTTCGACCTCGACAAGGACGGCTACATCGACTACCACGAGCTCAAAGTCGCCATGAAAGCCCTCGGCTTCGACCTCCCCAAGCAAGAAATATTAGCCATACTACAGCAACATGGCTCGCCTGTCCCATCATCATCATCATCAGGTCAAAACTCGAAGCAGCCATCGCGACAGCAACAGCAACAATATGCGGGTTCCGGTCGCCAATTACTTAGTTTTCAGGCGTTTCAGACGCTCATGGCCCAGAGGATACTGAGTCGCGACCCCCGAGACGAGATTCTGAGGGCGTTTGAATTGTTTGATGAGGGCGGCAAGGGTACCATTACGCTGCAGGATCTCACGCGGGTGGCTAGAGAGTTGGGCGAGGCCCTTTCCCATGATGAGTTGGTGGCTATGATTGAGGAGTTTGACATGGATAATGACAATGCTATAAGCAGGGAAGAGTTTATTCAAATCTGTATGGGTACTTAACGGGCAAGGCATGGGAAATGCGGTTTTGTTTGCAGTGTGCTACGTATTAGTCTTTGCACGGCGTTTTGCGGCGTTGGCTCGCCCATCTTCACATCTGGTTCCATGAGAATGCCATTTTTGCCGATTCGGTTTCAAATTTGCTTTGTTAATTTGCACCGAGAAACCATATATTTACAGCTCAGCTCTTTCAAAGTAAACAGCATGCCGAAAAGAAAAAAAATTCACGAACTTCAAGAAACATGCTCAATACACATGCGCCCGCGTCTACTGTCCGGGCGCGATAAGCTGACCCTTCTTGGCAGCATCGTGTGCCCAGCCCCCCGCCAACGCCTCACCGCCGTGCTTCAGTCCGTAGTCCTTTATCCTGGCCTCAAGCTCAGGTCGGAAATGCCTGATGAGACCCTGTAGGGGCCAAGCAAACGCCTCACCCAACGCACAAATGGTGTGTCCCTCAACCTGCTTGGTCAACTCTTGGAGCATGTCAATCTCACGCTCGCGAGCCTGGCCCTTGTAGAAGCGGTCCATGATCTGGTGCGTCCACTTTGAGCCTTCTCGGCAAGGTGTACACTGGCCGCAGGACTCGTGGTGGTAGAACTTTGCAAGACGGGTAATGGCACGGACGACGTCGGTCGACTTGTCCATGACGATAACGGCAGCAGTACCGAATCCAGACTGCGAGTCCTTGAGGGCATCAAAGTCCATAAGTTGGTCGTCGCAGATGTGCTTGGGCAGGATGGGAGTAGAAGAACCACCGGGAATGACAGCCTTGAGGTTCTCCCAGCCACCACGGACACCTCCGCAGTGCTTCTCAATGAGCTCTCGAAGGGGGATAGACATCTCCTCTTCGACGGTGCAAGGGTGGTTCACGTGGCCAGAGATGGCAAAGAGCTTAGTGCCCTGGTTGCGCTCACGACCGAAGCTGGCAAACCAGCTGCCTCCTCTGCGGCAGATGGTGGGTGCAACAGCAATGGTTTCGACGTTGGCAACAGTAGAAGGGCATCCAAAAAGACCAACGGCGGCGGGGAACGGGGGCTTGAGGCGAGGCTTTCCGGGCTTGCCCTCTAGTGACTCGATGAGAGAAGTCTCCTCACCACAGACATAGGCACCCATTCCTCGATGGATATACACATCGAAGTCGTAGCCGGAACCGCAAGCATTCTTGCCAATGAGACCGGCTTGGTATGCCTCCTGGATAGCGCGTTGAAGCACGGTGGCCTCGTGGTAGAATTCACCTCGGATGTAGATGTAAGCGGCGGTAGCGTTCATGGCACGTCCAGCGACGAGGCAGCCCTCGATAAGCTTGTGGGGATCCTTGCGCATAATCTCGCGGTCCTTGCAGGTTCCAGGCTCACCCTCATCAGCATTGACGACCAGATAGCGAGGCTTGTCGTCCTTGTCCCAGTCTTTGAAGTTCATGAAAGACTGTGTATGTCAGTGATGCTACGTCTGCCAGTGCAGGTGGAGCTGCATACCCATTTCAGACCAGAGGGGAAACCAGCACCACCTCGTCCACGCAGGCCAGAAGCCTTGATCTCAGAGATGATCTGTATCCGTTAGCCCAAACCGTGTATTTCCGAGACATGCATCTCCGTACCCAGTCGTGACCCTTGAGAATGATCTCCTTGGTCTTGTACCAGTCGCCATACTTCATGGCGCTCTTCAAATCCGCGCCATGGTGTCCGTACAGGTTCTGGAAGATCCTGTCCTGGTCCTTCAAGCCGCCATATGTCCTCTTGGGCGGTGTATCCTGGACTGTTGCGAGTGTCCTCTTCTGTGTACGGTTGCCGGGGGCCGCGGTCGAAAGGCGAGTGGCTGCTGAAGCCGCGGGCAGAGCTCGGTGTGCGGCCGCACTGAGCGCCTTCTGGGCAGGAACTTGTCTTGCGAGCATCGTGGGTGCGAATGGTGTGTTGTCTCACGCAATTGATGCTCGGGGGGCCGGCAAGCGGTCGTTATCGATGCAGGTGGTGGCGGTCGTGAAGTTCGAACTGGATGACCTACTGTTTTCTTGGCATCTCTGATTGGTCCGCGCGACACATCGTTGACATCAATCCGCCAGGCCGGTCCGATTTTGCTACACTAATGGCCACACCATCAACAGCGCCATGCATCGATTACGCTAATTGGGCTGTTCGGCTTTGGTGGGTATATGCGTTCGAAATAGTATGTATGCCATGCTTGACACAGCTTGCGCATGTCTTCGTGTCTGGTCAAGAGTCATGTAGCCCGATTCTGAACACCATCAACCTATATCAACAAGCCGTTTATACAAACAAATCATCTGGAAATGGCTGGGGAGCAGTAAGCAAAAGTATATGTGTTTCTAGCGAATGTACGTTGATCTTCAGTCAACATCAAGTTCAAGTCGGGATTAGGTTAATCTGAAGTCTCAGTCGAGATTTGTTGCCCCATCATCCAGCTTGCATTATGCAGCTTCATTGACTAAGGCTCAGTTGTCTTCTTCGTGACCAAACCATTTTTTGGCCAAGTGTAAAGAAATAAAACGCGTCTAAGCAAAGGAGATCAGCTCATGCGAAAAGGCAACTAGTTCGTTGGATTAGAACATTCCACTAGTCGAATTAGCTAGGCTCATCACACTACCGCAACCCCCCTTGATATGTGTGCGATATGTGTAGATATATAGCGAAGGCATGTTTGTCCACACGTATTGATATGAATAAAGATTTGGTTAGTCGAAATGTTACATCATATATAGCAAACACACCATCATTAGATGTAGAATGAGTGCGCAACTGATATTGCACACATCGCTATGATACCCTAGAGAACACTGCGATCACTCTACACGTGACTCTAGGTAAATTCAAAATGCAAAATGACTCTTTTCTCACTCGCTCTAACAGACAATCGATTCTAGATTTTAGAATCTCATCCAAGCCCCCTAATAAGCATTTACGGTCAAAACAATACTAGTTTCCACTCACCCTATCCTCGTCGTGTCAATCTCTCCAGAATCAGATCTTGAGTGCAATCTCATCATTCAACAGATTCCTTCCATACACCGCACCAATTCTAACGGATATTAGCAACGACGTCACGTATCAGACACTAATTCAATCCTCCTAGGTATAAACGACGGGTGGCCGCCCACCACATCAGGCAAACTGTTGTGGCTTATTGCATGTGCGCATTGCGCGGAAGAAGAGGCGATTGGTTCATGTAGTGAAAGGGGGGGAGTCTTGTCACCTACGCCGCACCCCTGCATATGCACCTCCTCATATCCTCACACCGATGTGCCTATCAATTCTAGGGAAGCTAGGATGTATGAGACTGTTGCCTAGCCTAACAGCGCAAAATCTAGTAGCCATTTGCCGATCTCTGCTGCGCAATAGAATCCTGCTTTGATTAGGGTGTCTAGTCTGTACATTCACCTAACTTTTGGGGAGAAGTGGTTGCGGAAGATGTACATTAACTAACGTTAGAAATACATCTCTATTTCATTTACAATAGAATAGTAGGCCTTGAAGCGTATATAGGGAGCTCTATGTGACGAAGGAACAGCTGTGTTGACTTGGGTCGAGTCATATACCTCCATTCAACCACTGTAAGCATGTCACAGCCCTCAGAACTGACCACCTGTGGCGCTCAACAACCGTGTTGTTCCATTTGGCCCCTACCGAATGTACAGTAAACAAGTACTCTAATCGTCTGTGCCCCCTAGAGCTGGGGCATGGTCATCTTGGCTGCAGACTGGATGTATGTGACACCTACCGTTCGAAAGCACAGCTCAGTGGCCCAGGATTAGGGAGGACCTCTTCTTGGTGCTGGCCTGAACTCTTGCGGTGGCTTGATGAACGTTTCATCGTTGGAGTAAGGGTGAATCCATCCAATACAATTCACTCATGTTTATTGAAACTCGTATACTGCACAGGCTGCAGTGCCATGTTTGTCCAAGTTCGAAACTGGTGAGATTGTCAAGGGAACTTCCTATGGGTCCTGACTAGGTCCAGTGAATGGAATATTTCTGTTTGTTGATTCTTGCAAATTTTCCTTAAAGCAAACCTCCGTCTGCTATAATTGAGATCTATATCAAACATCTGCTCTCTGTTTCGTTGTATCGCTCTTTCTTCCAAAAAAGTCCCTAGAACTAGATTCTCTTCAACCTCGAGTTTCTTTAGCTTGTCGAAGCAATGATGGCGCCCCTTACACAGGCAGAGATCAAATCGAAACTCCTTAAATCTACCGTAAGAGCTGCCACAATATACAAATACACACACCTTCTTGGGTTTCGTAAATTATCGAACTCAGATTCACATCACGGTGTACAAAGCTTTGCCGGAAAACCAGGGGAATTCTACAACGCGTCCAAAAACGTGGCAGAAGTGATATCAAGACGATACAAATCATTTACAGACCTTCTTGAGAAGATCAAAATCCAGAATAATTTTAGGGAACAAGAAGTCGAAGACCTCATCGCCAAGTACGGTCCAGACATCTGGAATGACGGGGATTTAGGCTTTGTGACCGAAACTGACAATCAAGGCGAAAAGTATCAAAGCTACCCACGTCACCTCATCTACAGCAACGAGAGCGATCGCGTAAAGTAAGTTGCACAGTTTTGTATAAAAGTTAGGGTACGAAACTGACAAGTTATTCTAGAATACAGACTTACACCTACTGTCTGGTACTGCAATGTGCATTTTCCAAGATGAGAAGCCGTTCTGCCCAAGATATCTCTATGCAGGCGGAGTTGCCACACGCAGCTTCTCCCAGCCCCGAACTTGGACAGCCAAACGCAGCGCCACCAGGCCCAAATAACACATTCATCACATCTTCAGTTTCGAGAGGCGGTAAACGTTCACGAGACGCAAATCATCACGACGTACCGGTAGCTCGGATGATTCCAGACACGTATACAGGGGGGTCATCTTCATGTCTTGCTAGGCTACAGTCTACAGCTGTGGAGAGTGCTTTCACGATGAGAAACAGTGTCGCGCATGCGGATCAGGACAACCAGGCGAGAGAGGCGGTAGGTTCAGACGATCCACGCATACCGACACCGCCTTTGGACCAAGTCTCAAGTCCGAACTCTGATCAAGAAGAACAAACAGGCGGACGCACTTTCCGCAACAAACGCCCAAGATTTGAGCAAGGGGGAACTGCTCTCACAAACTTTCGATTAAAGCAGTTGCCTGAATCTACAACACGAACCATTGAGTTGAAGAGGAGAGACTATTCAGACGGACAATCTCACTGGGTGCGGTCGAGTAGAACTCCAGTAACCACCGCCAACGCTGGAGAGCAGGAGCACACTGAGACAGCTCCTGAACGTGCTACAAATGATAACTTGAGTGAAATGACAGGTGCATCCGCGTCTCATGGCAGCATAGGCACAACTCAGGAGTGTGACAACGACGTTATCGCGGTAACAAACGCCCAAGAGAAACGAAGTCGCCTCACATCCTCAGCCACACCAGCACCAGAAACCAGATACGACGAGGCAAGCTCAGTGCAGAACTCGTCTAGGCCGTCGTCGGCAGCTGAAAACCGAGAGTCTGCAGAGCCGACATCCCTAATTGTCAAGCTGTCCTTAAAAGACCTACCTCAAGTCATACAGCGCTCCGCCTACCGTAGGCGCCTCGCCTCCCAACTCGCTCACGCCCTCAACCTGCAAAACCAACATACTCAGGTTCTCGAAGATACGGTTACCCTAATCGCCGATATTAGATCCCTGGACACAACCCTATACAGAAGCCCCTTTGGCAACCGCAACTCACCCTACCAACTTCTCCTCGACCAATGGCTCAGCCTCGTAGCCATCTACCTCACCTTCCGGCGCGCCACAGACTTCCACGACACACAAGAAGCATGGAACGCACATATCTCATCTCTGCCCCCGGCCGAGCGCTGGAAAAGAGAAGAGCCATACCATGATGCCGGCGTATCCTTCAAAGAATGGCGCTCCCAGAATCTGTCCTCCGTTGTACCAACCTGGTCCCGAGATATTACGTGCGCGTTACTCGAGACAGCCGAGTGGCGGCGCCCATTGAAGACGGATGATATCCAGGAGATGAACCGACGGGTGCGGGAATTTAACTCTGGGCTGATGGCATGGTTGGACTGATCGCCTTCCTCCTAACAACAATAATTGAATGTCGCGGGCGACATAGCATACTGTACTATACATACACTGCACTATATACTAGATGGGCTTTATAGAAAAAGAGAAACAAACGCGGGACAGGAAATAACAATAGTAATATTTATAGACATAACACTTTGCACTACCAAACTGACCAACCCGTGCCCATCTGCTATACCCACCCACCCCCTCCCCCTCGCCCAACCCTACATATACTACTTCAATCTACACACTAAAGCATAAAATTCCGTATACGCGTACCCTATCTACATAACTTTTCGCCAAGCCGGTCCAACAGTCGCGCACGTGCCTTTGTTTTAGAATACTAGCAGCGAATTTTGCATGTCAAAAGAACGCAAAGACCATGCGTAAGTAGGTGCGTTATAGTATATATGTGAAACGCGGAGTCTGAATCAAATGGGCATTTTGGGGAGTTGCGACACATGATGTGCCCTGTGTGTTACTCTATGGGCGACAAAACGAAACGGAGGCCCGGGGGGCAGGGAGGGTAAAAAAGACTGGGTGAGGGCTTTTTGCGCTTGTTTTGGAGAAAGAGAGAGAGAGAGGGATATGAGCATGGTTGTTGGGGCGGGTTTGTTACATGGTTCTTCGTTGTTTGGCGATGTGGGTGTTGCCGGCTTGGCGGTACTTTGTCTGAGGGTTTCGAGTTTCTAGGGCGGGTTCTGGAATATGCATATGTGTGGTGCGATGGTCCTTGTTCTGGCGGGTGATGTTGCGCTAGAGGTGTCGGATGGCTAACTTTACTAAGTGTTTGTGCGTATTGATTGGACGAAGGGTTTATGGTGGGTGTTCCTGGTTCGATGACAGCTGCACGGTGTAAGTGATGTGATTGGTGCCCCTTGAGAACGACGTAGAATTAGGTATGTTAGAGATGGCGGAAAAAAACAAAATTCAGGTTGAGTATATCGTGGTGTTACTGGCTCGGCATAGTCGCTGATGTCCTAGGGTAAGAACCACAAAACTTCACTGAAATACAGTGCAATTCTCACGTGCCTTTCGCCCTTGTAAATGTCCGATAAATGTCTGGAAGGGATTACCCTTTCAAGGTGAGCCAGGATCAAACCTGCACGTCTCTACCAGAACACCGGTACCTGCTGTAATCGGTTAGTGCCTCAATAGAAGGCTGCCACCGAAGCAGTAGAATGGCCAAGGGCCTACTACATAGATTGCCCTTGGGCGCACTTCTATTATGATCGTCGTGCGGTTCATGCATTAAGATGCTTATTTGCGCCTACATCCAACGTCGGTTGTAGATATTGAGAGATAGGGGTTGGAATTGCACCTTCCTACAAGCGAAGTTGGGGGCGAGATAACTTGTTGAATTGTTGAAGCGAGCAGTCTCGCTGTCGAGGGATCCTTTTTTTCAATAGACTTGGATATGCATGTCCTGTTCCTGGCGGATTTCGCTTAGCTGCTTACTAAATAGGGGTGTCAAGAAGGTGAATGTAATTGAAACGTCCTGTTTGCAGGTTCAAGTGCCGTCTAAATGGGGACACTGAACTGTATATCCTTGTATAAACAGGCAGACAGAATAAGAGCCTAACATTATTCTGCACGTTTGCACGTTGTTGGCAGGGCACTTGGTTCATGCCCGACAATCTAATCATGTCCTTCCGATATTTGTCTTCTGATGTGGGCACTTGAGTGGAAACCCCAGTGTCCTACAAATGTCCAGTTTAATTTTGCGCATGTATGTGGTATGATAAAGTTATGAAAATAGATTAGTTAAAAAAATGGCAGATTTTTCATCAATATGTTGATTAAATTCGCCATATAGTATGACTTGACAGATTAGGTTCGGTGGCACTGGAAACGGATAGGCATTACGTGAAGCGGTGAACTTGCGTTGAAGTGTGTAAACATGGAAGAGAGGTGCAATCTTCCACACAGAACATAATAATGCCAATCGGATTCTAAGACAATAACCGAGGTGACGTGGTAACAATACGAGGAGTATACGTCGGGCATGTTAATTGTCCGCGGCTTTAAAGAAACTTGACCGGGTCTTTTCTAGATCGGTCAACTTTGAGATCGAAAACGTCGAGTCGTTGATAGCCTCCAACAACATCATGGTACTGTTTTCCTTCGATGCAGTCTTCCAGTCGCATATCGGCGTACAGTATATCTTCTTCAGACTGGAGCACATCCGCATTTTGTTTTTGCGAGTCTTTGTAGATGAAACTAGGAAGTGGAGCGCCGGTAGGGTCCAGGAAGAACGTGGCAGCTCGTGGCATAGCATGCAAAGTCTCGGTTACCACATCGGGCTGACTCGCGCCATCGACAATTGTCTCAATAGCATCTTCTCCCAGGTGTCCGGAACATGCAACGCCGAAGCACTTGGCTTCGAAGCAATGCGCTGCTGCGCGTGTCCTGTTAGCCGCCAAATTATCGTAGTTAGCTCCACGTGTGCTGGCCTGATGGACGCCACTTTCGGCGCTCGGTGGGATTTTTTGCAATGTTCGCGTCGGCCAAATTGCGGGCCAGGTAGAGATGTGCACTTGTTCAGCTTGTGCAATCATAGAATACCTTGCAAGTGCGTTTGTATTCTCGCCACATATGAGGGTGCCAATTCGCCCAGACTGCGTGCTAGCAACGCGTAACCCATGACCATCTCCAGGGCTCCAGGTCAATTTCTCAAAGAAAGTCGGAACAAGCTTTCGGTGGTGTACAAGCACCTCGCCCTCAGTCCCGATGATCAGGTTCGAGTTGTAGAGGCAGCCGTTGCTATGGCGGGACTTTTCGCTGAAGCCGATGCTGACCAATACACCGCTTGATCGTGCAGCCTCGCGAATCGCTTCCAATTCATCACCATCCGCATAGACTGACTCTTGCACCATACGCTGGAATAGCCAGTGATTATCGGTCGGTGGTCTCAATGAGCTCCAGATTGGGAAAGCAGATATGTAGGTTTCGGGGAAAACGACCAAGTTGGCCTTGTTCGAGGCCGCCTGCTTAACGAGGGCTATGGCCTTGTCTGTTGTCCGACGCGCATTCAGAAAAACTGGAGATGCATGGCATGCAGCCACGCGGAGGATGCTTGCCATTATGCGTGGTGTTATGGCGATGCGAACACGGCGGTGTTGGCGAACATATGATCTAATAAATGCCCCTGCGTCTGATTAGGCGTGCCTCCCCGCATTCTTGCAGAAAACCCGTGTTTGTGAACGTCCCTCATTTTACTGTTACAATGCTTTTCTCAGTCTCCTCAACGTCTCCCATAGTAAGACTGGCGAGGAAAAAAGACAGGCCGGAAGATGCGGATCATTTGACAAGCGCGTGGGACGACTTGAGTGCAACTGACTTGAGGTACATTGTTCGGCCAAATTGACGTCGGAAAAAAATACAGGGTACTTAGCCGCACCTGGCGGCCACATTCTGTTATTGTACTATGCGTTAACGCCACAAAAGTAAGTATTTGTCCCAATCCGACCAGGGTCATCCGGTAAAGGCAGGTCGGATACGAGAAGTGTTGCCACACGGCGGTTCCGGATAGTCCAGGAACGGTGGAGAGGTGAACATGTAGTACGCAGAGTTACATGTTCGATGAGGACATATCTCGGCGGATGATGTGGAGAAGCGGAAGGCAGACTCCCGATGTTTCTAGGCTGGTTTTGACAAATCCTCCGTACCACTGCAGAGTTCCCTGCGCCATGCATGTTGACGTCGCTCGGAGGTGTTTATGTTTTTCAACAGTGTACTCGCGATATCTGTGTAAGATGCTGAAGGAGAAGCAGCTGGCCAGGCGGCCGCATGGGCGTGCTTTGGTTGGAAAAGAGTGCTGACATATGCGGGGTGCCAAGAATTGTAACATCTCCCGCTCGCTTCGACTCGTTACTCGTAACCTACCAAGCTGTCCTTCATAATGTGTAAAACCCTTCAGCCCAAACGCTCGGCCGGACCAGCTGCGACTTTTTTTTTGCTGACAGGTGGATGACGAACCTCCGCCTCCGAGCTAGGAACCCACGCGATGATAGCGCTCAAAGCCGACTAGGCTTTACCTCGGACACAGCTGCTGTTTGCAGTGACCACATTATCTGATTCACACCAGGTAAATGCGGCTCAGTTTCTGAAACAGCAGATACCGCCCGTCCAACCAAATAGTCGCCGCTGCGCTACATCTTGCCCATTTGCATGAAACGAACCGCTTGAACTTGCGACTGTGCGCAAGTAGTTGGCGTCTTGTGCTCTGCACTGCCTGCATAGCACCCTAATACTCACCGGCATACTTTGCTTGTTCATACGTACGCGCATCCCGCAAAACCCATCGAACCGATTTTGTAGCGCACGGCGCATAACGGCCGTTTATCGCTTGGTTGTGGAGTCAAGCAGGAAGGAAGATTAGATGGGATTGAGGCCGGAGCAAGTGACGCTTTCGTCGCGCTCCGTCCACACCCCGGCCCAGCAATCTCGACATTTGCGCAATGTTTTTACCCAAGCGGACCAATCATCCCCGCATCGTGGCGCCGTTCCGCTGGTGACCAACTTTTGGGGTGGATCTCCCGCGTGCCTGGACTGACAGACCTGTCATAAGCGTCTTCGGACCGATGCCGTTGCAGCCCTCTGGGGCAGCTAATTCATGCTAAACACGAGCGTGGATGCAGCTGCCTCTGGAACATCTTGGCAGCTCCCATGGGAGATAACCTTGTCCACCTTCAGACTTTGGTCAGGACCGCTAACATGGACAAACACCTTGACGGCCCTTCTAGGATGACGCACATATTGGTTTCAAAACGCTATCTTGGCAGACTATACCACTTGCACCAATTTATGGCACACACATGATGAAGAGACAGGGATCGGACCAAGATATGGGATGCAGCCTGTTATCCGGTACATGCAGCCCAGTCGAGCCTTTTTTCTCAGTCGCCCCTGCAATAATCTTACCGACTTGGAGGCCTATGTGATGAAATATAAATGTCTTGAGCCTGCTTCCACTTAGCCACTACCTCACAGTTAATCACCAACTCTCTCACACTCACTGACTTCATCGCCCACGATGCGTTTTTCATTCATTACCTTTGCTACTTGCGCTCTTGCTGCCGCGCCCTTCTTGGACGAACCTGATACTGGCATTGACCAGCAACTTGCTGCCTTCGTCGCTAATAAAACCGTCCCTCCTCTCAAGTCCCTCGTCGGACTGCCTGATTTCCAATGGGTCGGTCGTAACTTCATGAACGTCTCGTCCTACACATACTACCGCAACGGTGCTGCTGGCGAGTGGTCTTACCGCAACAACCTTGAAGTCTTTGCTCGCTTCCGACTTCGCCCACGTGTTCTACGCGACATCACCAACGTTGCAGCCTCCATTCCAACAACCATCCTTGGTTACAACTTCTCGGCCCCCTTCTTCATCTCCCCATGTGCTCGTGGTGGATATGCCAATGATGAAGGTGAGGTCGGTCTTGTCCAGGGTGCCGCTAAGGCCAACATCCTCTACATGGCCTCGCTCTTCTCATCAAAGACCATGGAAGAAATCTACGCTGCTCGCCCCAACGGCTCTGAGCAAGTTCTCTTCCAACAGGTTTACTTGACCGAAGACATGTCAGCTACCGTGAAGCTGTTCAAGAATATTGAGAAGGTGGGGGCCAAGGCTATTGTCCTTACCGTCGACTCCCCTGGTGATGGTATCAGGCACCGTGCTGCACGCTACAGTGTCGGATCCGCAGATACATCCCTCAGCCTTCTCACCTGGGACCTTTACCACAAACTCAGCAACCTCACTTCTCTTCCCATCATCCCCAAGGGTATCCAGACTGTCGAGGACGCTGAGGAGGCCATCAAGAACGGCGTCAAGGCTATCTTCCTCTCCAACCACGGCGGTCGTCAAGTCGACACCTCGCCCTCTTCCCTCCAAGTTGCGCTTGAGATCTACAAGAAGGACCCTTCAATCTTCAACAAGATCGAGGTCTATGCTGATGGTGGTGTCCGCTACGGCACTGATATCCTGAAGCTCCTTTCTCTCGGCGTAAAGGCCGTCGGTGTTGGCAGGCCTTTCATGTTCGCCAACATCTACGGAGCTGAGGGTGTCGCTAGGGCCGCCGAGCTGCTCAGGTACGAACTTCTCAACGACGCTGCCAACACTGGTATCGCCGATATCAAGAAGATCGGCCCCGAGTACGTTAACTGGAAGGCCTCCAGCATCTGGGTCGGCAGCGACGAGCTCTAGATTGCCTGATATTTGGAAGATACCCCCCCTTCACTTCTTGAATGTACATATATACATGTTTTCTTTTCCAGGTGCATGTACATAATTTTTGCATATAGATTACCCCAACAAACTTTGTTCTTTACCTCTGAACCTGAAATCCTTCACACCAATTCATTCAATTAGTGACGACAATGATGATGACGAAATGCGAAACAAGAAATGAAAATTATCAAGGTCTTACCAATCACTTACGCAACTTTTCACCCCCCGGAAGTCTGGCATTGCATAGGCCAAGCTCCAGTGACGTTTTTCCTGTCAGACGGGCCGAGACGCGAGGCTGTCCTTACTACATGGCGGAAAACCTGAACACGGATGCCCTCGGAGCCGAGAAAAACACCGAAAATTGAAAGTCGAACGACTATTAAGTACAACGGTCTTTCGATAACTATACCTAGCTAATAGTACGCTGGATAAAATAAAATACAGTGCATCTGTTTTGGCGACGCTAATAATGCGAATTACTATCAAGTTCGCGCGTCTCTCATGCCGGTCCGAGAGATCGTCAATCAAAGAAACTTTGCCTCTTTAGCGACAAACAGTGCAGCAAAAGAGCACGGCCACTTGAAGCATCGGAAGAAAAGGAAAAAAAAACGCAAAAAGCAAGCTACGCCAATAGAAAAGCCCAGAGTGTTTTTCCGAAGTCTCGGATGCGGGGAAATATGATCTGTGTTGTTGCTTACTTTCAGATAGTTCCCTACCAAGTTATACACACACACACCGTATGTGGTTGGTGCGCCGGCAAGACTAGTGGATTGCCCAGATATCTTGGGATGCAGAACGGCATGCTGGTGTTACGCGTTCATCGCTTGGAAGAGGGCGGATGAGTGCAGGGCTTTCTCTGGGGGCTGTGAAGGACGAAGATAGAATGCAGTGACGTCAGTGCATCGACTTGGGGGACTGGGGGACGAATTGCGTGAATCGCTGTAGGACAGGGAGGAGAGGGCTGTGCTGGTGTATGTACCGAATACGCCGGGAATCACCAACTTTCTTTCCACAATTACTCCGTCGGGGGTTTTATCGTACCGTACTCTTGTGTGCCACAGCATCGGATGAGGACTAAAGAGGAGAAAAGAGCGACGCTAGTGTTGGAATGAAAGACAATGCCAGGCGAGGAGATGGTGTAGTAAGTTACGTTAGAGTACCGCTGCAAAGCTGATGGTACAAGAGAAAGGGAAACTGAGAATGCTATCGTAAGAGCTAGTGTAGGTACTGCGAGATCAAAAAGAAAAACGAACATATGGCAAGAGATTTTTCGAAGGATAGAATGGATGGTAGTTCCAACCACTGACTCCGGTACGGCAGTGAAATAGCTCGAAGAGCGGCATTTAGAGAAACACTAGCGACCCAGCAACCAGGACCTTGGCGTATAGATGGATTGACGGGACTAGACAGCTGGTCAACCAGGAACCTAAACAAAAATACACACTAATGATCCGACATGGCTCTTACCGAAGAGCAACAAAGTTTAATAGTACATGAAGTATCGTGCGCTGTACCTGCATCCTCGCATCGCCGCTACTCCCTCTAGCATAGGAAAAGAAAACATACCCATTCCTCCTTCTAACAAAAAAGAGCTCAATCATACCCAGCAGGAAACAAACCCCAAGGCCCCGCTTCGCGATGCTCCTCGCGCTCAACCCCATCATGCTCAACATGCACATAGTGATAGACCCAAAACGAGCAGTATACAAACGCTGCAAGCCCAGCCCCAAACGCCGTAAGGTACATGACCGCGATCTGCTCCCCCCACACAACGATTAGCTTTGAACTTTCCTTTTCCCTTCTTCTACTCTTATTCCCACCCGGAACAGAAAAAGTAGCAAACAGAAAACAAAAGACGGGGAAGTAAAGAAATCTGTAGTGTAGCATACGTACATTCCACCCTTCATCCCCCCACGCTCCCTTCTTGTCCCCCCTGAGAATAGGTAAACCAACCAAAACCGTCAAGCCAGCTAGAAAAGCGCAGACAGAATACGACATGAACATCAGCGGGGCTTGCCATGTAAACACCATCTTACGCCGAGGCACATAAACCTTTGCACCTGCATCTTCTTTCCTCATCACGGGTGAGAGAAGCAAAGGCATATACCTCTGCATTGCTTCATCATGCACTCTACCCGCATTACCACCACCACCGTTACTAGGTGTGGAGGCGGCAGCAGCAGCGGAGACAGCTGGGAACTGCGACGAGTGTTGAAAATGAGCGGAAGCGGGTGTATGCCTCACCGGCCCCAACAAATTCAACACGGTAATCTCGGACGCGGACAGCAAAATGCCCAAAATCGACAGGATCAAGCTTGTGTGCCAGAAGCCTGGGGTGAGCCAGTGTGCGGTTGAGAGTGTGGGCCAGGAGAAGGCGCCGATTACTGCCGCGGCGAGGACGGTGCACTGGCGATATTGTCAGATAATGAAGAGAAAAGAAGGGGTAACGAGTAAAGTCTTGAAAAAAGAAGATCTTGGTGGAGTCGGTTTGGGGGGTGGGTACGATGTTGCGGGACCAGATGAATGGTGGTGAGGAAAACAGAGAGGAGGACTTACAGAGATAGTAGTGAATTGAAGTTCACTCAGTTTTCTACTGCGCCAACTCGATAACGTGGAGAGAAGTTTTTTCGTGTCGGGATTGGGGGATGAAGCGAGGGAGGCGAGGTTGCGGAGGGGATTGGTGGTGTTGAAGTGGTAGAGACGGTAGTATGGCAGTGTTGCTAAGCGGATTATGAGGGTTTCTATCGCGTTCCATACGCGCTGCGTGGAGAGAATTAGTGATTACCGTCTCTCTTTTTTTTCTTGATTTATTGGCGGTGTTCTAGATTAGTGATGGAAAATGGGTGGGTGTTCGTTGCCAAGGGAGCGTTCGCATGCTTACTTGTAGAACCTGTGTAATAACTCCTATGGCACTTGCCAGTGTCGCGAAGTCCAGCGCAGGCGACATACGAGAGCTTGTTTCTTGGGTACTTGGCAGTGGTAGTTTACCAGCCATCTGTCGATGCTGCTGTGCTGATTTTGCGTCACAGGTGTAGTGGTATGAACGCGAGACAGTAACGACGTGGGCGGCGAAGGGTCATGATGGCGGCCTGAAAGCTGGGCTACTGCAAAGTTACAGGTTACCGTGGGGCGAGACAATGGGCTATGTACATATAAGGCCGATGTGGCTGAGGTACGATTGGCTACTTTTCAGCCTCGCTGCTTAAATAGGCACAGCTAAAGTGCGGCTGAGTCGATGTTCGCTTATCCATGTCGGAGGCTTAGAGGAAGGCTTAAAAGGACTGATCAGAGGGATGCGGAGCTTAGGAAAAGCCTTGCCTCTAGTACATAGCCACTTAACTTTGAAAGGGCTTCTTTTTCGGTAGTACAGCATCAGATTCACTATAGTCAGTACGATGTTCGTGGAACTATTCAGTCCGTAACTGAGGATGCACGGAACATGATGGAAGTACATGAAGTCCATCAACAATGGGAGTTTGGAATATCGGAAAGAGAAACTATGAGCCTTCATGTGCGATAATGAAGACACAATCTTTGGTTTGAAGGAATCACTATTGACTCGATTGTTCAAACCTCACGATAAAACCAGGCTACTTCCCAAACTTTCAGCACGTACGAACTCTCATGGTAGCAATATTGATTATTGTTCATCCTCTCGAAATATAAAATGCAGACAAGGGTATTTACATAGAAGTCAACTCATCATATCAGGCTCTCCGCCGAGCCCTTAAAAACGCCACATCGCCACATCATTTCAACATCACTTTCGTCAACATCGCACCTTAGTTAACTCCAACGGCAATGGCAGCAAGTGCCCAATCCATGAAACCAGCATTGGTGTCAAGGATGTTCTGGTTGAACTCGGTGAGAGTGGGGTAAAAGTTGGTCGCGTATCCAAACTCCATGGTGACTAAAAACGTGCAATGTCAGTATGCATACACTGCAAGGTAGAATAATCAAAACTTACAGCCAAAAACCTTGTTAGCACCGGACTTGGCGTAGACACGGCTGGCGGCGTAATCATCCGAGGCACCAGAAGTGGCGTAGAGACCAACGGATTGCATGGATGAGTATGAACGTCCACCTACAGCGGCCACTAAATACAAATGTCAGTTCGGATATTATATGAAAGTTCTCAAGGGTCAACTTACTAGCAGCAGCCGTCTTGGAGGCAACGCTCTTGATGCCAGTGACATCGGCAGAGGGCATGTACTCCTTGTATGTGGAGTCGCCGATACGACCTCTCTTTCCGTCGTAAGCACTGTTCAAGAAGTTCATAGCGGTGTTTGTGGACTGCGTCTCGTCGTCACCCCAGTTGTATAGGATGTCACCAGTAGCAGAGTGGATATCCATGAACCACCTGATCTTAGGGAAGCTGTCGTAGATGCTGACGTGGTTCTTGGTCTCGGGCTCAGATGCGGCAGCAGTGCCGTAGAAAGCCTCCGAGCTGGGCGAGGTGGAAGCAGGCGAGGTGGAGGGGTCGAAGAATTTCTTGAAGTTCCAGAGGAAGTCAAAGTTGCGGTTGAGATCGACACCAACGGATGCGCCGCTTGTGCCGGAACGAGTGTTTCGGTTCTTGCGCCAGAGGGAGCCAGAGGATTGATCGTAGGCAACTCCGTCAGGGTTGACGAGAGGGAAGAAGACGATACCAGCAGCGAGGACGCTCTTGACCTGGGCGTTGGTGTATGTCTTCCTGCCGTATGTAAGGCCGGTTCCGGCCTTGTTGGCAGCAAGCAAGTCAGAGATCCAGTAAATAAGCTGATCGGGACCACCTCGCTCACGGGCGTGCATGCCAGCGCTGAGGTAGAGCTTGTACTGCGACTTGTCTGTACCAGCACCAACGTATCCAGCGGTCTGTGTAGCGCCCTGGAAAGTCTTGTATGGCAGAGTAACGGTGTTGATACCATAGCCATTAACGAGACCCTTGATTGCCGAGTTGATCTCGGTAGGGGTCATGATGGAGCTGACTGTTGATCCCGCAGCTTTGGTTCCAAGACCAGATGGTGTAACAGCACCACCTTGCCACCTGTCACCAGTGCCAATTGGTGCGTCAGCAGCCCTCTTGGTGAGGTCGCGTCGGTGGAGAGAGATCTCTCCCGAGTTCTCATATTCCCTTTCTAGGTGGGCAATTTGCTCCTCGGTCAGGAGAGCATGAAGCTCAAAGTGGCCGTCCTCATGCGGGACAGCCTTTGGTCGGCAGCCCAGATCGTATGTGCCGTTGTTGACAATGTCGAGGAAGTGGGAAGGGCTGGGTGCCTTGAAGTGAACGGGAAGAAGGCTGCCAAGTACAGTCGTACCCTGGAGAATCAGGGCTGCGGCGAGAGAGTACTTCATCTTGAGATGTGTTTGGAAAAAGAATGAGGGATGTGAAAGCGAAAGCACGAAGTACCTCTGGCGGACTGGTTATTGTAGCCAGGAAGCCGCCTTATACATTCTGTGCAGCCCCATAGCATGACGAGCGACCTTCTTCTAACGGCTGTGATAATACATCGTTAAGCCTAGTTGCGTCGGCGTGGGGATGGGGTGGCAAGTCCGTGATTGGGCGGCTTTGCGAATTGGCTGGGGGCGCTAGCAACATCTCCTTCTTCTTTGGTCAATCCTCCGTATGCTTCTCCTTATGCACCTGCCCGGGAGGATCAAGTAGATCGTACTGTGCATCGTGACTAGGGCTGGCCTGCCTGTATGAGCTGCTTTGTTTGATAAGATAGATTGGAGGGCGACCCAAAAGCAAATGTTTCGGGGCAAAGCTTGAATGGTGATGCGCAGCTGCTAACGCATAGGGCGGTTGTCTGCGACTTGGCGTTCCAATCGAGTGACGCCATAGTCGAGCAGCCTTTATAGGTTAATGCGAAGAAGCCGCCGAAGTGGTTTTCATGATATGTCGTCGCCTAAGATGACGCCGAACCAAGAAAAGGAACTGCGGAGCAGCCCATGTGAATGGAAGGTGTCTCCAGCTGGGCAGCCCCAGGGGCACCGGCGCATCCGACGCTTGATTCCTTTCTTTTTTTCTCAGCGCCGCAGGCTCGGGCATGTCGATGGCATGTGGAAATCATGCGCACCTAAGGCAAGTGGTAGGTAACGGTCATGCTGCGAGTTGGAGTGCGTGTCGGACTGCCAAGCTGCCAAGACTGCTCACGTGTCTAGCAGTAGCGGAGAACACCGCCGGGCTACTGCTCGTTGTGCTTACACCTTCGCAAAGAGGCAACGTGCAAAGACTACCGTGGACATGGAACATCATTCATTCAATATGTACATACATGCAACTCATAACATCATGACTCGGAAATCGTCAAGTCGTGTGCGTCGTCTCGTCTAGCGCGTAGGCCCAATGCAAGCCTAAGAATCAAATATCGCCCCGTACGCCGGTATTCCCCTCTTCTCCATGTCAAACACAATCTGTTGTGTGAACCGTTTGTTGCTAATCACTAGCACCGCCTCCGCCCCGCTCTCCTTGTAAAGGTTATACGTCAACAGACTCATATCCGGCTTCCCAGACATGCGCGTGTTATGAATGACAGCCTTGGGGTCCTTCTGGAGTACATCCTCGACCATCGCCTTTCCAAATGTTGCCTCGTGGTTGGGCGCTGTCCAGAGAATGCGCATGGCGATGTGCTTGTACGGAAAAATAGAAAGACACGGGCCGATACCGGACCCCGTCGCTACCACAACCACACTCTTGAACAGTGTTGCAATACGGAGCACTCCCGAAGTGGGGATTCCGCGTCTCCATACATGCGTTGGCGCAGTGTCGATCATATGTCCTGTGAAATCGCCAGCTCGACTAACAATCACAGAGTATCCGCCGTTATTCGGTCCATTGGTAATCGTTGCAAAGCCATGCCAGTCTCCAAGTGGGTGTTGCGCAAGACGGACGCCTTTGCCTGGTCCGAGATTCGAGTTAAAATGTAACCGGATGGCATGAGAAGAGAGGACTTCAGGTATGACAGGAACTCGTCGGAGAAATAGCCACGGGAAGATAATCGCGCAGGTAGCGATTGCGATGAGCCATAGCGACGGATTCCTGAGGTAGGCCTCTGACGTCGAGTATCCTATTTGACGACCCATATCTGCGGTGGACAGTCCGATGAGCACCCAGTAGAGGATGAGTACTGTCCATCCACCAAACCGATGCAAGCCTTCCCATAAATCGTGGTACCGGTTCCGGAGATACGGGTGCGACATCGCGGTCATTGTAAGAAGCAAGGACATGATGAAGTAGGACAGTACCGCCGGCGCTACTGAGATGGCTCTTTCATCCACACTCTTTGCCATCTCCAAGCTCGCACCGATGACGAATATGACGAACCATATAAGCGCAGCAATAGCGCATCCCACGTGGATACCACCAATGTGGAAAACATTTGCGCATATGCACCGTATCCAAAGAGGCATCCATGTGGGGACCGATGAAAAAACTTTGAACAACAGGTTGATGACTGGCTCTGATCGGATCAAGATCGCAGCGCAGAGGTTCGCCGCAGTTGCGTTTGCAACCGTGGAGAGTGGGTATGTGTGTTGCTTGATGTTGTCGTAGAGAAGCCAGCATGCGACTCCGATGTTGGTGAGGACGACGGGAAGGAGTAACCAGCGATATGCAATCAAGCCGCGATGTCGTACCCAGGCGTGTGTTCTCGACAATGTGGGTTGCGGCAACGCAGTTAGTGTCTCGTATGGCTCCGGGCTTTCGGTTCCCGAATGACGCTCAACGCTCTTAGTTATGAAGCCCTTTTCGAGATCCATATCGCGGGATGAAGCCCGCGGGCTGTCATGTATGATGGCGGCAAGGGGAGCTTCGACCTTCCTAGGCTCATCTGAGACATCAACGCCTGAGTCCATTCGCATATGCCCCTTCTTTGTGGGTTCGACTTCTGCCTTGGGAGAACTTGTTGCTGCAGCCAGCGCTGTAAGTTGCGCCTTGTCGACTTTTCCGTTGGCGTTCAACGGCACGTCGTCAACGCGAAACCACCGTTCGGGCACGGAATAGTAAGGTAGTTGTTTTCGGAGGAACGCATCGAGTTCTCGCTCGTCGACGGGGATGGAAGATGCGTAGAAGCCATGAAGGACGCCATCGATGACCAAAGATGCACCTCGAGTGACTCCAGAAAATTGCTGAAGATTGTTAGCTAGTAGTATTGATCCGGGTCAAGAGATCGTTACCTCGATAACGGAAGTAACACCGTCGAGTTCAACACGGAAGCCCTAGAAAGGTCAGCAAGATTCCTGGTGACATCGTTGTAGTCTTGAACAAACCTTGATCTTTACTTGGTCATCCATTCGTCCAAATGAGTCTAACGAGCCGTCGGCTCTCCAGCAAACAATGTTGCCAAAGTTGTACATCACAGAACTGGATACTTGTCAGCACATTCCAACATAGCCGACATCCCACTCACCCATCATTGGCGAATTTATCGAGCTGGAACTTCTCTGCGGTAGTCAAGGGCAAGTTAATGTAGCCTTTTGCTATACCCCTGCCCCCAACCCACAGTGTTCCTTTTTGCCCCACTGGCACGGGCTCTCCTCTATCATCAAGGACGTAACATGACACATTTGGTAGCGGCCGGCCGATGGACAAGTGCTCGCCTTTGACATGTTGATGTGAAGACAGCAAAAATGTCTCAGTGGAGCCAAGCAGGTTAAAGAATGATCTGCCTTGGGCCCAGTCATCAGCGAGACTAAGGATGTGTTAGTATACTCGCTGTTTCTAGAACGTGTGATGTACTCACGCCTGCGGACACGCCTCGCCTGCTACGGCGAGCACTTTGATGTTCGGAAAGCTTTGTTGGTCGTACTTGGACAGGATGGATGGGGTGCATATTAACGTGTCGATCTGCAAAGCTAGTTAGTTGAGTGTTGGCTAATTGTAGTAACTGTCTGCACCAACCTGTTTTAACGTCGCCTCCCAGTCAGATCCCCGGAGGTATAATGTTCCTCCGTTCATCAAAGAGGCCAACATCTCCCATGCTCCTATACTCCGTTTAGAATAACGGGACCTTTTCTTAAGCCGTGAGTAACTTACCCATAGCAAAAGAGATGCTCAAGACCTGTCCAACCTTTGAGCCAACTGTGATTCCCAACTTTCCCGGCTCTGAAAGGAGAGCGCTAGTCTTGGTGCCGTGTTTGACATCGACGCCTTTAGGGACGCCAGTGCTCCCTTTGATAAATATTAGCGAGTGATCGATTCCGGACCTATGAGAGTACTTACCTGATGTGTACATAGCGTAGAGGCCATCTTCCGCGGTGACCTGAACACCCGGTCTCGAGGGAGAGTAGAAGGCTCCAGTGTTCATGTTCAATTCCAGAACGATAGCTTCTGGGCTCGCGAACTGCTTGACCTTATCCCAATACCTTGGAAGGCACAGGATGAACCTCGCCTCGGTATCTTCGAAGATGTGTTGCAGGGCCTGGTCGGAAGCAACACCCCCGTCGATTGGAACATACTGACAACCAGCTTTCAGGATCGCCAGGAAGCCGATAAGCATCTCTATCGATCTCTGAACGACGAGACATACTCGTTGTCTTGGCCGAAGGCCTGAGCTAATGAGATGATGTGCGAGACGGTTGGCAGCGAGGTCCAGCTGTAAGTAAGTAATGCTTTGACCTTGATGAACCGCGGCCACGACGGTAGGATGCTCGTCAACAATGCGCTCGAAGGCTTCGTGTACTGTCTCGGATGGGACAGTGAGTCTTGGGCCGTATCCAAATTTAGAGACCAGGGTCTGGTCTTCGAGAGAAAGACCAGACATATTGTGAAACATGTTTGGCTCCTGCATGTTACCGGCACGCAATGGAATGATATTCGGGATACAAGGAGGTACTTAAAAGCCTGGTAGACTAGAGGGACAACGTCTGTTAAAAACGCGTGATCGTGCCGCAGGCTTAGCACCTGGGTGATGCGGTGTGGTAGCGCATGTCAAAAAACGGTGCGATATGCACCTATTGGCCCAAGGCATCAGGAAAATACATTATGTAGCAAAAATATCGATTACCGGATTGCGGTCTAGTCATTCTCGACAAACGCAGTGTGGCTGCGTCTCGGCTCTCGAGTGTTGCGTTCTTCATCAGTGCGTCTCTATGACCCCACCGCTTGCACCAACCTGGTGCTTATTCGTTGGGCTTCCCGTCCGGCTCACACATCAGTACAAGTACATGTAGAGGTGGCTGCTCTCGGCTTGAAGTGGGGTCGTCAAGCCTGGGTATGGCGACCCGACAGTCATCACCTGCAGTCTGCACGACAACACCGTGATGCTGCCGCCATGCCGCAATACCACATTAGGCTCGACGATCATCGAGCATACGAATGGACTCGTTGGATTGTCATGTGCGCATGCGAGAAGAATTGAGTCCATGTCCATCGTTGTATCGTCAAACTGCCTGTTCGTGCCGGGTTTTTAATGAGTTCGATAACGGTGAACTGCCAACCTAGAAACTAGCTACTGAGATATTTAAAAGCTCGTTACTGATGCATCTCATAGATTAACTTTGCAAAGCTATGCATGAAATAACACAAGCAGACGATGGAACAGCGGGAAACTCTTCCGGAAGTGTGGGCAGCTGGTCGATCCCGTGGAGAAATTGTATTGCGCATACACACTTACACATACCTACCATATTTTTTCCAATACGTAGCTCGTGCATGACTGGTGACTTTTCCTCGGTATTTTCTACACTCGTCAACATGACGCCCAGGCCCAACTTGCTGTTCCTTCGGCTAAGTGGCTTGAATAGTACTGCGTTCATGGATGGCACTGGCTTCCGAATACAGGAGATGTGCCGGCCGAGGTGGTGGGTTCGTATCCAAGGCGGAACACTACGGCACACCATGCACGCACTGATTGTGGCTGGAAGCCTTGCCAGTCGACTTTTTACGTACGAATGTAGAAGAGTGTCAGGACAGGGTATGGCAGAATCTAAGCGGATACCCCGATCGATGTCGGGCTCGGTTCTGATGAGTCCAGTGTGTGGCTTTGGGCTAACTTGACTGCAGTCGCGCACCGAAGCAAAGGACGATGTAACTGCCAGCGGAGGCAGTGGCGAGTCTCCACACCGCACCCCGCTGCGTAGTTTAATCGTCGTCGTCTTCGGCGATGGTCGCTCGGCAAAGTGACGAGCTGCATAGTAGTGGCCTCAAGCCAGGCATTTGCTTGCACCCGTTCGGCACGGCTCGCTTGTCACAAACAGGCGTAGGCAGGCGGCAGTAGTCGCCCGATCCTGCTGGTGTGCCACGCCAGATGGATGTGCATATGGACGGTGCGTTTCTGGAAATTCTTGTTCGGCTTACTCACTTGGGCGTTGCTGGGTAAGCATCCACCAGTGGCAAGTGGAGGCCAAATGAGGCTTGAGGAGTAACAGTGTGCGTGCTGCGCTGGCCGTGCAGCATCAGCATAGCGCTCGATCAACAACCCGAAGTCGTGCTTCTTGGGGCGTCACAAACGGCGGCAGCCGTGTACGCGAGTAGATTGAAAGTCCTGGGCGTCCGGAAGTGGCTTGGATTAGCGTGGTTGGATACTGTAGGCGGAAGCGTGCAAGCTAGCGGCGTGGGGAGCATCCTGCTAGGTGGACTAGTTGTTGGCTGGGGGTTTGCCGTGCAATAGGAGGACAGAGAGAGCATGTCCGTCGCCGAGGTCGGGTCCACGATGCTGTTTGTTGTGGTTGTAGCTACTGGTGCAGGGCCTGCGCAGTGCGGGTAGTACGATGTAGGATGTCGAGTCAGCCACTTGAGCTTAGCGGCTTGGCAGGGTCCCAGCCAGACACGTGTAGTGATAGCAGATCGAATGCCCACTCCAACTCCGCTAAAACTGCATCCCTCTGACGATCTGCAAATCCCGCAATATCCACTAGTTCGCATCAAGCATCACTAGGCAAGACCAGCCACTTTGATTCCTCAACCTGCGCCGGTCCGGAGCCCTGGGCTGGCTCTGCCTGGTGCTATCACGCCCACGTCCTGCCCTCCACGCATCCCACTCAGCGTCTTCTGCGCTTCCCCTACGTATCTATGTCTGTCAGCACATCAACATCAACAGGCGATCTCTCCGTTCCGGTACGCTTGCTGTGTATTGCAGCGGCAGTATGCTCCGAGTGCAAGCCATGCCTTCGGTCCCACATATACAGGCCCTAGGCCGGAGCTGAAAATCTTCCCATCCATTCACAGCTCCATCCCCGTCGTTGGAATAGTCGGTGAAGTCGACTGCCGGCCACGTGATAGCACGGCCTCGTACAATGACTTGTGTGCCTCCAGTTGCTCTGCCGTCCAAGGTATCACTACCCCGCTTTAGTGTGGACACTCTAGAACATGCGGCTCTTGGTTCAAACTCTATTTCCTATCGAGTGATGCCACCCACTTCGCGCGACGCAGAGGGACGTGTTGGCTTCTCATGAGCTAGACGCGCGACTATGATACACACAGTCCCCAGGTTCACACCCACTCGCAGATTCCTGCCAACTCGAGACACAATTGTGGACTTGGATCTACACATCTTTTCCGTCTTGAGTCCTTCACACATTCATTGCTCCCACCCCCTCCTCATGTCCGGGCTTTCTATGGTGGGTGTGCCGCCATCACGATATTGACCCGTCCGAATGGGTTAAGAGGAAGCTACTACGTGGGCCGTTATTGCGTGTCCATGCAGCAGTCCCGTCGCCACGAGATGAATGAGCAGCGACAGCCCTCGCAACACCTACGGCCTTTGTTCGGTAGTCCTCGTCTCGACATGCCAACAGGATCGGCGCAGTCAGGATGGCTGGTCAACCAAATGGCGGCTTTCCCGTATCTAGTCTGACGATCGCTGACTCCGTAGCAGCAGCTGTGTATGTATAAATTCTTGCTCTAAGCCACTGAAGCCTCTTACTGGCTTGAATTCATGGCATGGAGATAACAATACCTTTATACCCTCATCCTTCAGCTAGCCCCCATCCACGTCAACACGATCCGGATGCACGCGGACCCCGTGGGCTTGCGACCAGGGTAACTTTCCGGTTTAGTGAAGAGGATGGCGACCACACTGCCCATTTTGCTCATTCGATGACCTATGGATATCCTTCTCCGTTCATCGGCAAAAGGTCTCTAGGAATAATGCCGTCTTGCCGTGAAGCAAACATGTACATAGAAATCCTATATTAGAAAAGACCGCCCGAGACTCTACCTTGTAAGGCCGAGCCGCGGCTGTGCAAGCGCCGGGACGCCTTCGGTGGGAAAAGGTTCACAAAAAATATACTTCAATAATCAGATCCTTTAGAGAAAATCCGGTGGCTTGTCAAAGGTGAAAGTATGTACAGAATACGAGGAGTTGTCGGCAGTTGCTACTACTCAAGCACAACTAGTGGTGAGCATCAGCGCGGACATGACCTGTGGCTGCATGTGCGGGCGAGAGCGGCAGACGTGCGCCACCAATGCACGTGAAAATTGCTTTTTCCCTCGACGTTGCACGACGCAAGACCCACCCCATTAGCTTTAGTCTTGTAGAAAAACATCATGAGAGAGCCTAGTATCCTGGTTGTCTACCCCAACAACCAACATTGCGTCCGTTCATGCGCTAAATGTTCAAGTGAGTGCACGGTTGGAAAAATGTAGTACACCTTGAATTTTCATCTAGTAGTAATAGTCGCATCATGTGTGACCTCCGCAGTCTAGATCGATTTGAACTTGAACGGATCGGAGATGTCAAGAAGCATCTGCTCACTGCCCCCTCTCCACCTTGCTTCCTTGTCTTTCTCCTCGCCCGCCAACAGCTCGTTCTTTGTTCCTCGCCTCCACTTCGAAAAAGCCCCGAGCAGTGTCTTGCTGACTTTCCCAGTATATGATTGGCCGCTTTCTAGCTCCTCTAGCTCCCCTCCATTTGAAGTCTCTCTATCCAGCTTTTCAAGCCAAAATGTCTTCTCATATGGCACGTTGGGTTTAAGCTCCTCGAACATATCGTCTGAAGGGAAAGGATCACTGCCCTCGAAACAACCTATACCGTACGGCCAATCTACCTCTTCGCCGTCCTCATCAACGACGTGTGCGATTTCCCCCAATCCGTGAAGCTCTCTGAGTGGCGTCTTGTGCAGGCACACTGTGATGGTCTTCTCATCATGCGACACGACTTGAAGTTTGAAACCGAAGCGGGGTTCGCCACCTAGATAGCAAGTATTTGCCGTTGGTTGTAGTAAGATCGAAAGCTGCAGTGGTGATGCAGCATCTTCAAACACATTGAGCTTGATAGGTCGTGGCAGGAGTCGCACTGGCAGACGCTCGGGAGACCCTTGATGACTATCTCCGCGGTATGCCCATGGGAAGTTTCCATCATTCCGCCAGCGCATCTCATAGCTATGACCCGGCGTGAGAAGTTGTGTCCAAAAGTGTTCACACACGTCGATCTTGAGATCAAACCATCGGTTTCGCGCTCCAGCTTCGACGACTAGTCTACCAGGTTCCTCATCGCTAGAAGGTACTGAGATCTGCGAATCCGTGTCCATGTCGAAGAGATCAAAAAGGCCTCCTTGTAAGGCGAGAAGAGGGTTGAAGGTACTGGTCGATGATTGATAACCCGGGATGACTAGCATAGCAGCATGCGAGGCATCGTGCATCTGGACCTGAAGAGTAGGTGTGGTGCCTGAGGTGCCCTTGTGGCCAAGTTGGAAGGAAAGGTTGCCGTTTAGATACAACGATATGGTTGGGCTGGTGTTGGCCATGTTGTGAAGTATTCAGGTGTTTGATCGAAAGATGCAGGTCGGTTTGAGTGATGTACGAACTTACTCGAGATCACTTACTCCTTGGTATCGTACGAAGCAAATAAAACTAGGTTCTGATCTGGTCGCAACAACCTGATGTGGTAGAGTTACGCGAGAGTCGCCTTATTTGCGAGCTACGTCATGTGTAACTTTTAGCTTGGCCAATCGCGTTGAGGTAGGAACCTTTCTGGCCCCTTTGTAGTAGGCTGAAACGAGGCGCAAGGCAGACAGTCGTTCTCACCTGATTCGGGGCTTATTTCCTCGCAGATCTTAACCATTCACGTGACATAGGTTGGCCTAATAATTGCAGAAAACGGGTTTTCGTGACACACCACTCCTTCATAGATTCCTTCTTCGCCCCATACGCATACACCAACATCGTATTTTGGTCTCCACAATCACAATACCATGTGTAAGAATGACGGGAGTTCTTGCCGCGTGTGCTCTGCTCGAGTCAAAGTCACCCAAACAAGCCTTTTGGCAATATTAGAAGTGAATAATGGCTCGGTGTCCAATCGCAGCCCCTCAATTGTGTTCGTCATAAGTCACCATTTATAGATGATGGGAAATGTTTGCGCTTCCTTCACAGCCACAGGTTACAGTTGAACCCCACACAGGATCGACACTGCTCTTGGAAGGCGGAGTCTCCAGCCATTCTTCAGCCACCCAACCTAAATCTTGTTTGTGTTTTCTTAGCAGTAAAGCTGCTTGACAGTACTATACTTGTGGATGCAAATATACCTGGTAATTGCAAATAGCCAATGCTGATAACAAGATTTTAGATCTATGCTCGCTGGTCAATAACTTTATGAACAAGCAGTAGAATCCGTACAGAATGGACTGTAGCGCGAGTCAGCCGGCCTAAAGCCCTAATTCATTATGCTTATGGATGTGATAGATATATTCCTCTCCGTTTCTTCAGTTTCGGACACCGAAACCTCAAACAAAGTTCACATACATCCTTGATCTATAGCTCGCATCTCGATTTCTGTGTTCAAAATGTGATACAATTCAGAGAACAGTGTACCTACGTCAGTGGATGTCTCTCCTCGGAAGACCCCGAGTCACTTCCTGGTCGCCTGATAGTCTTTCAGGGATGAATTACATGGCATTGTCCAAATAGAGCGAACGTCTCCATAGCTTTGAGCGTGCTATTATCAGGCCTCCTACAATCTTAGGTCAAGAGACCTCCGTTGTATCCTTTAGATACTACTCAGCCTTGAAACATGGGGCCATTTGTGCTACCAGAATCCATTCCTTCGATAGAATCCAGGATGTGTACCTCCAGAATGGGAAGAGATACTATCGTCGTGCTGAGACTACTCTGTGTATTTAAACCCGTCCAGCCCAACATTGTTTGAGCATCACTTCACACATTCATAAGATCGATTCAGTAGATACAACCCTCTTTCCCCTGTTCAACTTCGTCATGGTTGGCTTCAGTAAACAACTGCTTGTAGCAGCGGCTGCTTGTGCAATTGTTCAAGCCCATCCCCGTGGGTAAGCGACATCCCCCATCATCTCCGCATACCTAAACACTTCCCATTATAGAGGACGAAAAACAAGATCCATCTGCTAACCTCCCTTTAGAGGCTTCCAATTCACCAGTTTGAACTCCGCCTGGGCCGTCAAGCGCGCCCTGTACAACCTCGACGCAGTCTCCGACCAAGACCACAAAGACAAACTGACCCAAGGCCTCAAAGACGCCATCACCATCGCCGCCAAAACGCTCGAGAAAATGGACGACGAAAAGCACCTCGACAAGCTCGAATATTGGTTCGGCGACCAACACTCCGACGCCAACGGCCGCGAGCAGGTTAGACAAGTCTACAAGAACTTTGTTGGCGAAAACACCGACGGCACAGGCGCCGACGTCAACGGCGACGTCATCGTCGACGACACGGATTACTGGAAGCCGAAAGCAGGTCAGGCGCCTAATGCTGATGGCCAAACTCCATTCTGCTCGTTGCAACAGGATGGAAAGACGGGGACTGCTTATTTCAAGCGCCACAGCGACAAGAGGCCCGGCATGCATTTCTGCGACAAAGTCTGGAGCAGAGACAATCTCGCTGCTCTACTCGCCAATGACTGCAGCAAGCTTAGTGGCCAGGTTAGCACTGCGACGTGGTCGAAGAACTTTATCGGATCGAATGTGCTGCATGAGTTTATGTATGTCCATTCCCCCCTCGCCCATATTCCTTTCATTCTCCTTTAGAAACAAAGAGAGGTTGTTGCTAACGCAGTCTTTCCCAACACCACAGGCACTACCCCAAAATCGGCCAAGAAGCCCTCGGCACGCAAATTACAGACTGGAAATACGACGCTTTCCGTAAGAACCTCACCCTTGCTTTCCATGTCCCAATACACTAACATCCCCTCTCTCTCCACCCAACAGAATGCCACGCCCTCGCCGTAAACGACGATGTAAACGAACGCGCCAAAACCCTCACAAACGCAGATACATATGTGTGGTATGCACTCGTAAGTTTCCCCTTTCTTCCCTCTCCCCTCCATCTCCTTTCGTTTTGCGAATGTTTTTTTTTCTTACGAAAAAAAATAGCACATTGCCTTCACCGAACTCTGCGGCAGAAGCTTCTCGGGCCCCCGCAATGAGCGCGACGACGACCCCACGAACCAAGACTGGCCAGATTCGGATCCCGAAGAGGATGCGCAGACGGATACATGCAATTGTACTGAGAATGGGTGTGCGCCGGATTCGCCTACGTGCTGTGCTAATGGCACTTGTTAAGTATTATAAATTGGTTTGGTACAAGGATAGCGAGAGTGAAGTGCATGTAGTCTCGGGTATCGAGTGTGGTGAAATAGCTTTACTACGGGAATACTACATGGTGTTGGCTTTACATGCCAAGTTTAAATCCTCCGATACATCCACGTTGGAATAGGCCCTCTGGATCAACTTCTCTTCTAACGCGGTGAAGAGATTCCAGGTTTTCGTCTCCGTACCCGTCGAATGGGTTCTGCCATTTTGCACAGTAGTTCATGTACCGGTATTTATGCTGTGTCCCCCTTTCCAGGGCATACGCATCTATCTGCTCAATCGCTGCTCTTGTGATGTTTTGCACAACCTCATCGTCTTTCCTCAATGCCCAGTTTACTGTAAAACTTACAATGACTAAGGCCTCTCTGTCCTTATCGTCAAGCCCCATGAGGTTAGCGTCGCCCTTGCATGTCCAGGTAGGAAGTAGTGGCTGAAGCACGAGTGTCCAAGTCATGCCCTTGATGTTATGTTGACGGATTTTCTGGATAGCATTGACATACGCCGCACGTGTCACCGTCAATGTTTCCAGGTCGTTTTGAATCGTCGTAGTAGCGATTTCTTGACGCCGCTGCGGTGGATTTAATGCATTCAATTCATCCGTCGCTTCACTCAACGTCCGCACTTTACACGTGCTCCAGAACCGAAATGTGCTTTTGAATCCGGAACTGAGCCAAGTGCTTGGCCAGCCTTTTACCTTGGGATCTGGTGATGTATGTACGAGGTTCACGGCGATGCCTTGGATGCCGTAGGACTGGAGATAGGTAAAGCAAACCAGTGGGCCAGTGGCGTGCGGATCGAAGCTGCGGTTTGCTTCGCCGGATGTGGTGCGCGCGACAAAGGAATGGAATGCAGAAAGGATTTCTGGGTGTTTCCAAGAAGAGTAGTAGACGAATCCGCTCCAGACATTCGTACACGGAAATGTACGAACAGCGAATCGCGTAACGATACCGAAGTTGTTTCCTCCACCTTTCAGTGCACGCCAAAGATCCGAATTATTGTGCTGATCCGCCGTGACAACCGATCCATCCGCGAGAATAACTTCATACTCAACAACATTGCTGCACACAAACCCATACCGAGGCGAGAAAAACGATAGCCCCCCTCCAAGCGTCAATCCCGCTACACCCACAGCGGAATTTCTCCCTCCCACAACCGCAAGCCCATCTCTTTCTAGCGCTGCATAAACATCGATCCATCGGCATCCGGCACCAATACCCACACTCTTTTTATCTTCCGCCAGGACAACCTTGTCAAATAGACTAAGATCAATAAGTACCCCACCTTGAATGCTCGATGCACCACCAACAGGACTATGACCTCCCCCTCGCACCGCAAAAACGGGTTCTAGATCGTCTTTCGAGTCCCCACTTCGCTGAACCCGTCGGTCGAATTCTTGCCGGAGTATCTTAACGGCCTGTGCCAACTCCCATACATTACGTGGCCGCACCACACACGAGGGTTGGACCTCACGCGCTTTCTGGTCCCAGTACGCATTAAGCGACTTCTCGAATTCAAGGGCTTTATCGGGTGTGATGGTGATATGCGGAATGGTAGCGACGAGTCTGCCGCGAAGTTGGCGCGCAGATGCAGTCAGCCCATCATTGATGCGTGGGCGACCAGGTTTCTCGGCTTGCGCATCACGTTCCAATTGGGATGTGTGGTTGCTTAGGCGCTTGCGGATGTAGACGGAGGCTAAAAGGATCGCGATGCAGGTGTATGCGACCCATGAGAGTGCCATGGCGAAGGAGTGACAAGGTTGATGTCTAGGATGTTGGAGGTTAGAGAACGGTGTCTAGGGGCGTCATTGGCCGATGCTGGTCCTTAATCTTGGCAGAATACTGTGGTATGGTTGGAGAGTGGGCGAGAGATTGGATATAATCATTGTAAGTGCACATAAATCCAGAATCACGTGGCACGATTAAATCTCCCAGCTCAGAAACAGGTTGGCATGGCGTTATTAGCGAAGTTTGCCAACGGTTCGAAACTATGTCTTTTGAGACTATGCAGTGCTGGCAAGACGTATTATGCCTACTAAACCCCCTTGTGTCTCCCAACTATAAAACCCACAGTAATTACTACATAATGGTAACAGATGTGTACCAAAAATGCCCAATAATGGAAAAACAATCAGATAGCTTGATCATCCCAGAGTTGAGTTGGTTAGATTTTAAGCGGTTAAATTGGTGCGAGGAAGTCCTTGTCCCTGGTTCAATCTTTTGACAAGAGATGCATAAAGCAGATCGCGGAGCATCTTCTCTGGCCCGGCGTATCTCAAATTTAATGGGCAGGTCCTAGAAATCGGCGTTTAATTGAAATTCGTACTTCGTTCATATCCCGGCTTCCGGATACCATTTCTTAACCCATTGATCGAGCACTTTTGGCCCTAGTGGTTTCGTCAAAAACTCATCAGCTCCAGCTTCCTCTGCATTCTTGCGGTCAGTGGGAGAATCTTGGCCTGTGACAATGAACAAGACACTCTTTTCCCATTTGTTCTCCTCCTCCAATCGCCGGATCTGCCGAGTTGCATCGATTCCATCGCATTCTGGCATCTGCAGATCCATGAGAATCAGGTCGAACGCTGTCGCAGATACGTCTCGCTGCAGTAGAGGATCGTATCTGGTGATGACTGCTTCGGAGAAGATCCTGACCGCTTGAAGCCCATCTTTTGCTGTTTGATATGGAATACCGCGACGGTCGCAATACATTTGTAGCAAGCGGAGATTGACCGTGTTGTCATCAACAAGCAAGGCCCGGGGCTTATTCGAACTTGTAACCAGTTTTCCGGCAGGTAACGAAGGCTTGGATCGTAATCTTAAACTTTGCAACGATTCTGCAAGCTGCGTTTGCGTCTTCTTGGGGAATATGGAGCCTTGCTTTACTAATTCTTCTGTTTGAGCAGCGGTAACTTGAGGGGGCGATACAAGCTTAGGCTTGGTAACAACCGTGCAAAACGAATATTCTCTGGGTTTGAAACTTGGCCGCCTGGATTCGACCAAAATTGCCGTTACAAGCTCCATTGCTTGTAACAACTGCTCGGTTAAGAATGGCCCCTGAATGTATACGGCATTTTCTTGCCGTCTTACTCGTTTGTTCTGGAAGTCAAGGAAAGTCGCATTTTCAGGAACAAGGCAAATAACGACTTGCTCCGTACTGACACTCGCCAATTGCCGATAAAACTGGACGAGGTCTGAGTGGTAGTCCACAATCACAAGACTCTCACTTTTTTCCTTGGACTCCAGCCAGCCAGTATTCGATAGCCAGTGACTGAAGTGATGCCCTAGCGATGACATTGGCGACTCAGATGCGAGGCGGTAGAATTTCTGGGGGAGTCGAGTCATCCCATTCTTGACCGGGAAAGGTGGTGAAAGAGAACTTGCACAGATTGGGTTGTTGAAAGTAGTTCTATAGTATGAGGTTGAATCATGCTTTGAGGACAACACTGCGACCTCTCCGTTGAGAAGTGCTGCTGCCTTACACGCTATAGTTAAGCCTAAAGCAGATTCAGCCGTAGTAAATTCATCCTTGGTATAAATGTCATTCATGGATTCGGAGGGAGACCTGACCGCGTCGAGTTTGGTATAGTAGATGTCGACTGCGAGAGATTGGTAATCCTCTTCCACTGTCAAAGTCACTGCTACGACTCCCCCAGTAGATTGTTGGGCGGCAAGGGCCACGAGCGGCTGGATGCAGTCTAGGAAAACACGAATATCAATCACCAGCATGTCGCAGCTCTTTGGAAAGCGATGTGATATCATGATAGATGGCCGGATGGATAAATCATCGGGCAACCCCATCAACACCTCGTGGAGTAGGGCAGCCTCGATGTCAGAAACCTTGTGAAGCGCCATGACTCGCTCCGCTTGGGCAATTTCCGCCCACTGGTTCAGTTTTATCAAACTGTTCACAGTTGATATGAGCTCCTTGGCCGAGGTCTTGATCGTCTGAACGTAGGTACAAAGATCTGACTGCTCTGTTTCAGGTTTCGTAGCTGGCGGATATGCAGGGGTAGCGTTTCGCGTCTTGAGAACTTCTGTCAGGAGCTCAGCAGAGCCGAGAATGCCGTGTATCGGAGTTCGGAGTTGATGTGTGATGCCACGGAGGAAGGATTCCTTGACTGCAAGTGCCTCTTGAAGCGCACGATTTTGCCAGAAACGGCACAAAACCATCTGTTTCGGGGACTGGGATCAGCTGTTGTCAAATACATTGTTCGTTTTCCACAGCTACTTACAGCGCACGCTTGCAAGAACCAAGAATCGACGTCGTCGAAGATTCTCTTCAAGTCGTTGCAAGCCACAACAAGAAATGTCGGCACAGTCTGGCTAGCGCATTGAGCTGCAATCGCACGTACTGCACGAGGCGCCGTCATGTCTAGGTGATTCAGATGCTCTATGGCGTAATCGAAGTAATCCGTATCTTCCCAAAGACCGTGTTCGAGCTCACAGGTGGAAAAAGTTGTACCACTCTCAAGTGAGATGCAGCCATCCGTCGTTTTCCTGATAACCACTTCCATGCCTGGGTAAATTTCCTGGACTATCTTCGGAATTTCTTGCTCCATATCGGCGTGCTCATCACAATGGCGCTGGGCATCACAGATCAGCTCCAGCATGCGCCTACGTTCTTTCTGACGTCTGGCCCTTGCGCTGTGAACTATGTCGGAAACAATGCCATCCGCGAGACGAATCAAGGACTGCTGCACGACTGGAGAAAGCAGCTCTTCGGGAGAGTTTGAGGCGACACAGAGAGAACCAAAAGCCACGTGTTGGCCAAACTCGGTTTCGAACTTCAATGGTACGCCCGCATACGCTCGCAGTCCTCCTACTTCGACGTGGGGTGACTTTTCAAACCGCCAGTCATTGACCATATTGTGCAAAGCGAATATGCTCTGTCATCATTAGCCATGGTTAAAGCGCAGATACAAGAATAACCTACATCTGGCGTTTGATTGATAGTATGGGAACATGTGCTTTCGCGGCGCGGCAAGATTGCCAGCGGGAGATTTACCGTGACTAGACGAGTATAGGTGTTGTGATTCAAAAGACCAGTAATGACAAACTCCCAGCCTACCGTTTCATGGGCGAGAAGGACCTTTTCTTGCAAACGAGACATGAGCTCTTGATCCTCGAGTAGTCCACGAGTATAGTAGAAGAGCATGGTCAGTCTCAGCCGCTCATTCGGCGCTAGCACAGGAAAGAGGTAGCGTTCGCCATGGCACCGACGAGGACATTGCTCCTTGACGGGAATGGGCGAGAGGGCACATGTATCGGTTTTGTCTGGATACACAGACTGCATTTCCTCTGGGGTCCAGGCATCAAGGGGAATATCGACATGCTCCGGGTCAAGAATAGGAGCGGTCGTGGTAGGACGGTCGGCCAAGACGGGGGCAGCATGTCTGGACGTCAGGACAGCTGCGTCAGCCTTTGGGAAGAAAGCAACACGCTGTTGGCGCGCAGACGGCATTGAGGTGTTTGGAACACGTCGTTACGCTCAGCATTGGAGATATCGCTGTGCTAGATGGTCTGCATATGTAGGGTGGTGACGGCGGCGGCAGCCAATGTTCTCAACGTGGCGCGACCCAAGTCGGTCCGGAAAGTCAGGGTCAACGGTCGATGCAGCGCGCGCTGAAACACTGGCGATGATGAACTGTATGTGGTTGATCGAGGCAGCAATAATCGTTGTAGAGTATGTCGAAATCTGCACCTGCACCCTGTGCGGAGTGTCGGCAGTTGAAGCATCGTCAGCCCGAGCCGAGGGCAATCGATCGATGTCTTTGGGCCCCCAGTAGTTTCTTTGTCTGCATCGCCGATGGTGCAGACATAGAAGTCGACGATAGCGCCGATGGCCAGCCGTCCACAAGGTCGGACTGATCTCCTCTAGAAGTGGCTGAAGTGACAGAAGAATCTTGGGGTGCCGGGCTATTGCACCGCCGACGCGTCTTATTGGTGGTTGGCGCACCCTCATGTCGACTGCAGCACTCTGGCCGGTTCTATGGCACGCCCCTCCGACTGTATGCTGATTGCTCGGGGACGCTAACCGTACCCTTTTGTCTAGAGTCTAGAATCTAGGCGGGAGTCATAAGGGCCGACTGACATCTGGCCGGCTAACTGGCCGACGTGCAGGTCACCCGGTAGCCTCTAGTAGAGCGCGAGGAAACGTTCCGACTCGAGAACACCGCTCTCCTTCTCTTTCCACATACTATTCTAGGCGCCTCTCCTAGTGAGGCGATCAGTCAGCACGAGAGCGAAAGCTTGCGCAGTGTACTAAAACGTTAGACTTCCTCGATAGCACAACCACTTCATCTTCTACCAGACCACGATTCCTATGCAGGATTTTGCGCACGATGCTCACAGCCCTGTATACCTCGTGTCACATCCAACCGCCAAGCGGTCCAGATTCCTGACGGGAGAAATAAAGTACTGGGGAAAAACCAGTTTGGCCGGTGATCCTTTCGTCTATCGTACAATATCGGACCATATCTGGGGTTTTGGCCTCGCTGAATAACGGATCCTTCGACAAAAGCATCGTGCCCCGGTACCATCGACCCATTTTGCGCACCCTCTGGATCGAGCGAACTTTTTTCTGCAATATGTGAGGATGATGCAATTCTGCATGATTCTCGACCCCTCTGGTTTTGACTCCTGGTACCGGTTTGTTGACTAAATGGGCAACGTCTCACGTGGCTAACAATCATGTGCTGTCAAGTTACTGCATGGCTACTTGAGGTAACGGCCGTTTTCACGCAAGTCATATGCGGAGCGAGCCATCTGCACGCTTGGTCGATCCGCATGGGGTGAAACGTGAAGGTGTATAAGCACAATAGTACAATACAGCAAGGGAATACGAAAACCACTTCACCAAGAGAATAGCAAACGCCTTTCATTGTGTACTACACTGTCAAATACTCCACAATAGCAAGCTCACTGTACAATAGCAATAATGGAACCCTACTTCTGCTTAAAACCTAGAATCCACACCACAAACTTCCTCTCTTTCCTACCAAACCCTCCAATCTCCCAAATTTCTCTTTCAAAAATCTACCACCCACAATGTCTCTCCGTCCCGAAGAAGACTTCGACAATTACGACGACTACATCTTCCACATGGCCGGCGGCGACGTCGAGCAAGCCAGTGGAGGAGAAGCCTCCAGCGACTCCGAAGCAGGATCTTCGCAGTCCGCAACCCTGCCCTCCCCACCCGAAGAAAGGGATTCGGGCAACGAAATGGACACCTCTTCGTCCCAGCCTCCTCCCTCTTCCCCTTCCTACGGAAGCAGCGGCGAAGAAATGGACACGGGGGCTTTCGGTCCCACATATCAATCCTCAAGCGACGAGGATTCCTCGGACCTCAGCGACGCGCTTTCAGACCACGAAGAGCTCGGAAGCGGAGAAGTGGAGATGGCGGATGCAAATTCATCTTCGGACGAATCCAACGTGGCGCAGGATATTCCTCTTCCTGAACCCGCTCCAGCAAATCCTCCCGCTGAGGTCGAAGAAATTGACATGCGGGACGCGGATCCGGCACCGGCTCCAGAGCCGCAACAGGAGAAAGCCGTCGAGCCGGTTTCGGAGGCAGAGGAAAAGGAGCACACTGCCACTACCACCACTACCACCATGAAAGAAGAAGAAGAAGAAGAAGAAGAAGAAAAGGTCACAGAGATGCAAGCATCTCCTTCACCCCTACCATCTCCTCAACCATCTCCACCACTACCGCCCGCCCCCATCACACACGACACCCCCGCTTCTCTGCCCTCGGAGCCCACCGAGCAGCAGCATTCTCCTGCCCCCGAACCCAAATCCATCCAAAAAGAGGAGCTTCCAGTACCCGTGGCCAACGAAGCCATTCCGCCTCCCACACCATCACCAGCACCGTCCGCAGAAACCGCGCGTATCCAAACGCTTCTTTCTTCTCTCGCCCTCTTGAATGAAAAGAGCAAGGCATTCTTTTCGCGACTGGATGTTCTGCACGCGAAGATTGAGGCGTTGTAGTTATGTTTCTTGGGGGTGTACTTTATGAGTATCTTCTGGGGAGTGGATAGGGGCGTTTGGGGGGAAGGGAAACGGAGTATGAGAGCACGGAGTATATTCTCTTATAGAAAAAAAAATTGTGATCACTAGATTCCAAGAGTGTTATACATTGTATATAATCGTAGTCATTGATTCTTGAGAAGACCCTAGAATATTACAATGGGGGGTGGAATATGTATCTTGGGTACTTTAATCGTAAGCAAAATTACACGGCCAGATTTCAGTCCCAAACAAATCGTGCCGTTGGATGTAGTAGTCGCCCGAGTTCGATATCCTACCGGGAGGAAAAGAATAGGTTGTTGATCGTTCGGTAGCCAAAGTTGCCTCGGTCGAAAAAAGCCAGGCTGCGATGGTAAGCTCGGGACCGCTGGAACACTGTTAGTCTGATTCAAAGCAAAGTCGCCTTGGTTTGTGTAAAGTGACTGGCCATCTGGTGAGAAGCGGATAAAATGAACGTATCCTGAAAGACCGTTTAGAGTGATACGGCAAACCCCAGTAGCCACTTCCCACAGCCATACTATCCCATCTTCAGACGCTGACGCGAGCAGCTGGCCGTCTGGCGAGAAGGCCACCGCAGTGAACCGATGGGAATGATCCCCGAGCACCCTATGACACTTCCCTGTCGCCACCTTCCACAGCCGTACTGTTTTGTCTCTAGACGCCGATGCGACTATCTGACTGTCTGGTGAAAAGGCCACATCTGTAATCCGGCGCGAATGGCCCCCAATTAAATTACCAGAAGCGTCCTGGCCTGCTTCGTTCATGGCCACCATATGAACCTTCTCTGATAATTTGCTCATAAACGTTTGACGTATCATACTACTCTCCGATGCGAATGCAAGTGCTGAGTAGTAGACCTGCAAAGGGGCTCTTCTCAGTATTGTCGAAAACGTCTCTACAAATTGCTCAGCATCGCAGAGAAAAGTCCAAATGTTGGTTGCAAATAGCTGCAATGTATGTTAGTCGGTCATCGAAGAAATTGCATTTGTAAAGATCTTACCACATCTATAGTCGCTTTGAGATCGCATATCAAGCGATAATAACTCGACGGATCACTCATAAGACTCATAGCTTCTATCCAATGGAGAAAATGATTTCTGAGAAAGACATGCATCGTATCTCCGTCGGCAATGGTTTGCTTGCTCTGCACGAGATGATGCACCCAGTAATAACATGCATACTGTAGGTCAGATGGCAAGCAACTAGCTATTGTCCCCTTGTCGATTTCGCTTTTCAAGACCCCAGGCCCTGACAGGTTGCACATATTCTCATGCAGGCCATGTGATCCAGACATCCGTTCAAGGCAACGCGTAGCTAGCTTCTTGTGTGTGTCCGTTTGGTCTATCCAGAATGGGCTTTTCCCTTGTTTTTGAGGGGCGACAAGGAATTCGCGGAAAGACAAGTGTAAGAGTCTGGTAGGTGCGTTCTCATCGTTGGGGACATTGAGCACAGAGTGCAAAGATTCAAGATGAGACTTGACCTCTTCTTGTGGAACTTGAAGCAAGCGGCTAAGCGAAACAGCGGAGAGCGGGTTTTCGAGAAGGACAAGACTGCCGACAATTTCTCGAAAATTTTGAAGCCAGGTTTCCTTATCGTCTTCTTCCTGTTCATAAAGCAGCTGATCAAGAACAGGGAGATAGGTTTGATCTAACTTTGAGAAGTTTGCTTTTCGATACTGCAAAACCTTGATGAGGAAAGCCGTAGGGTTACTTCCTTTACCACCAATGTACCGACATACTGTAGCAGCATAGATGAAAAGTGGTGTAGCTAGCTCGACGAGTTCTAGAATCTGTTGTTCTGTTGGCCAGTCTGGAGCTAGCATGCGTTCTTTACGTATTATATTGAGCTCATGTTCGAGAAAGAGACGGATGTCGTGCTCGACCGTGCTCCTTGGTACTTCGTGAAGTATAAGGTCTTGGTATGTGCTGTTTGAAATCTCTTTGAAACCTAAGCGAATGTGAAGCTCTGGTCGGCTAGTAACGACAATCCGTAGCGCAATTGGATGGATATCTTTAGCTCGAGCAAGCAGCCGAAGGATCGTTCGAATGTCTTCTTCTTGCTCACATTCGTCTAGTGCGTCTATTATAATAACACGCGCCAAGGCCCGTGAACAAGGCTGCTGTATCTTTTGGAGTGGCTTCAGAACTAGGTTCTCAAACTGATCTGTCAGAGTCTTCTGTGATATATTTGAGTCATTATCGAGTGCTTCCCTAAGACCAGGTAGCATACCTGGCTCACAGGTAGCTAGGTCTGTAGCGATGGTGGGGAAGAATCGCGAGGCGTTGCCGCGCTCACCCTCGCCCTGCTTAAAGAAGAAGCTTGCACCTAGCTGACCGTTGCTAGCAAATGATTGAGCAATTGTCCGTGCAATAGTAGATTTTCCCGTGCCAGCCATGCCACTGAGCCAAAATATACACTTGCTGTTCTTGTCATTTGCCCATGTCACGATCTCGTCTAATAATTGGGTGCGGGTGTTTGGTAGGCATCGTGCGTTGTGTTCTTCGTCGTGGGAGTTGAAGCAGGCGCCTGTTGCGACAGATAGTTTGGAAAGGTCCAGCTTCCGGTCTATGCTGATCATGGTAGTTCTATCCAGTCAGTGAGACACCGTATTGATATATGTCAAATCCAGATGTGAGGACCTACGTCTGATCAACTTGCAGCGCTAAGTTGAAGGTCTGCTCATATCCGCTCAAGTTTGAAACAATCTTGTCCACTTGCTTGCTCTTGAACGGCCATTTGAGCGCACGCAAGCCATATCGACTCATAGCGCTGCGAGTCTTGCCTGGCTCCAGCTTTAGCTTTAGGTCTTTTAGTTCATTAAGACATTGTTGAAGCGAATCGAAAAGACTCTGAGTAGCAGAGAGGCGTGTTTTGTCCTGGCTATCAAGCAGCTGCCTGATCTTCTCCAGCGTACAGTTGATGGCGTCAGCCTTTTTCTGCACACGTTCGATATCCTCCTTTGCGTCGTTGACGGCTATGGAGTATTGGATACATATTGAGACGATTTTGGCGGATATGTCGATTACTGCGATGACGCTTGCTGCTCCCGAAAGACCATCCATGAGGCGAGTGCTGTAACAGAAATGGGTTGCGCCGGTAGATTGCAGTTCGCATACTTGTAGGCTAAAGGAGCAGCCAGGCTGCTGTTAGGCTTGGGGCAGTGCTGACATCCCTCATCAGCCGCACAAGGCTGCACAAGCAGACATAGCTACTAAGCGCCGCCAAGTCCATTCGTTCCATGTATCTTATTGTAGTGAAAATAGGGGTATTTGCATATATTCCAGCATAGTGTATTTCACGACAATTGTAGGGGAATGTTAGTTGTCACAGCGAGAGGGGCGGGGGTGCGCTGGAGTGGGGGCGTAATACAAGGTGTGGTGGGAAAGGTATCGTGTGCTGGCCAACTACTCCCGGATACAGCCATCTGCAGACCACGTGACATTCACCGTGATGATAAATTAACAAACAAGATAAAGAGGGGAAATAGTGGGGGTGGTTTTTGCATTTGGAGTTTCTCATCAAAAAGTTAAAGATTCAAGGAGATGCATGTTCTCCTCACATAATCTATATGGAGTTACATGTATTTTACACTTGTCTAAATACGAGCCTATGACCCCATTTACTTCCTTCTGTATATCTCTATCGAGTACACTGTATTCTAGTGTCTTTACAACTCCACATAAAATCATGACACATATATATACATGACCATACTACCCAACTCATGTCTTCTTCTCTTGCGCCCTCTTCTCCAACCGCTCCACCTCTTCGTCAATACGCTTGAAGCTCCAATTCTTGTAAAAAGGCGGATACAGGAAGGGCCTCAGGTCAAAGCGGTTGTCATCAGGAGAGTAGGCTTCGGCATGGTAGCTGGGCGTCATGGTCGTCATCTTGTGACGGTTGATGGCATAGTAGTGAAAGAAGCGCTTGACCTTTTCAGCAACTTGTCGGGGTGTGTACTCATCAGACCAGTCGTGGGAAAGACGAAGCCAGGTGCCGTAGGGGCCGAGCTTCATCTCCTTGCGGCATTTGCCAAAGACGCCAAGCTCCTTGTAGGTCATGCCCATGTCAACCTCGTCGCTCTGCGCATACCCTTCGGTCAAAGGTTCGAGTTCAGCGGTTGGTGTCGCATCGAGGAACTCGCCAAGAATAGGAATTTCAAATTCCTTTTGTGCATAGGCAATGAAGCGCTTGAGATCGGTCTTGGAGATGGAGCCGATAGGGTTGAGGTCGGCGCTGCTACAATCATATTTGGTCAGGTAGCCACGAAGACACTCGTCGACGTTTCCTGAAGCAAGAACCAGGAGACTGCCACCATTGGGTCTCTCTCGAGCAGTAGGCAGCATTTGTGCAAAGTAGTAAGAAGACACAAGCCTCGTCCGGGCCTGGATGTTCTGCAAGGCTAGGTTCTCTGCAGGCTGGCCACCATGGGCCCTAAATCGCGGCGTAAAACCAGTAGCTTTAGTTAGTAGATTTTTCTGAGTCTCATAAATGTCATCTATATCCGCCTCAAGGTGGTGACTTCCAATGTTTTCGGCTAACCTCTTGGCACGGCTTCTTGTCTCTGTGCTTGACTGTTGCGACATTCCCATGTAGACAGTGTGCAGTATGCCGTTACATATCTGTTGTGGGCTTTCTGGCAACCAGTCTTGTCTGTGGTAGGGGCCCACAATGCGACGGACATCGGCAATGACTTGTTCATTGCCGTCTAAGACAGCCTGGTAGACTAATCGACACATGGAGAATACCAAGGTTGCCGTGGCACAACTATCGATGCCGCCACTTAGAGGCAGCATGAAACCGGCCTGGCCAGAGCGGCGCAGATAGTCCCACATCCAACATGCAGGGCCCAAGGCAATTTCTTCCTCGGGGGTGTGTAATCGCAGTGCCTGGACTGGGGTGGGCCGGTGCTCGGGATCAAAATCTGCGGTCGAAGACGAAAGCCTCAGGTTGGCGCGAAAGTGTTGGTAACGTGGGGCTGATACTGCTTGTAGGCCTCGGGACGGGCTAGTGCGGTACGACCAAATCTCTTCCAAGTCAATGGTTGCAGTTACAACCTCGACGTCTTGAAGTGAAAACTGCGACCCCTGTGCGCGAATGGTACCATTGACGAGAACCATGGCGCAGCCGTCATAGTACAGTCGGTCGCCGTCACAGCCCTGCTGGTTAGCATAAAGATAGCCACCACCGCACTTGGCCGTGGCCTCTCTGATCAGGTCAATGCGAGTGTCGAGCTTGCGGAGTTCATGGTGGGAGCCGGAACTGTTGATAATAATATCGCAGCCCGCTAGGGACAGAGCGATGTGAGGGCTCATGGGAGTGAAAAGCTCCTCGCACGTCTCATACCCCAGCTTGCAGTCGAGAGCATTGATGATACCATCACCAAAAGGGACAAAATGGCTGTCCTGCAGCGCCAAGGCCTCTTCCGAGAGCTCAAGAAGTTCGTACTGCTCGACCTGCTGGGGACGGTTCCAAGGGATGAAGTAGCGGCCTTCACGATAGTTGCCGCCCGCAGCCAGGCTCATCTTTGGGCGGATGAGGAGAATGCGGCCGGACAGGATGATGACTCTTGCATTGTACAGGTTGCCCGATTGGCGGACTGGCATACCGACATCGATAATAATGTCGTCGAGCGATCTATCGAGCAACAGGAGGCTCAGCTGCTCCCAGCTGTGGCGGATGCTGTCATGCTCGAGGAAGTGGTCGAGCAGGCCGTAGCCGCACACCTCGAGTTCCGAGCCGGCGCGGTAGGTGCAGCCATTTTGTTTGGCAACACGGATGCTCTGCTTGATGCGCTCCATGTTGCCCTCCCAGTCGAGCTGGGCGCGTTAGTGCAGCCGCGTCGACGGGGGGTCACGAGACATACGGCCCATTGGTTGAGGGAGCAGGTGGCTAGCTTGACGAGGCGGCCCATGGTGCGGGATCAGCAACGGCGACGGCGGCCTAAGGGGGAGAGGAGGGGGATTGATAAGGTGGCGAGCACAGGAGGAGGAGGTGAGGGGGATGAGGGGGAAGAGTTAGTCGGACGGGTGAGTTAGCAGCAATGGTAGCGGTGGGTGGAGTGGCGGTGGAGTAGTGGGAGTATTAGTTCGTGTGTACTAATGCAGTAGTCCGGTGAGGCGAAGCGAGGCTGGTGGTGGTGGTATTGGTGGTAGTGATAGTGGTGGTGGTGATGGTGGAGGGGCAGGCGAGGGCGGTAGTGGGGCAGGCGGAAGAGACGAGGCAGGCGGTCGAGCAGAGAGTGTCAGGGTCCAAGCAGCGCCCAACGGCCCAGGGAATCGTCGGGCCTAGCGCGCAGATGGGTGGCTTGCAGCGCATGGGTAGGACAAGCCCCTTCTCCACAAAAACCTCTGGTCGTCCTGGTCCTGGTCCTGGTCTTTGGTTTCTGGTCTCTGGCCCTCTCCTCCACTTCGACAATCCCCCCCCCAAATGTCCGACTCCCACGACCAGGCCCTCGCCCGCTCCCAAGCCCGTCGACGCAGGCGCATCGACCACAGCGAGCTGGCCAAGGAGCGCGAAAAGGCCTTCTACCGGTTCGTCCACGCCCCCACTGCCTGCGACGTGCGTGCCCGGGTTTGGTGCATGTGAAAGAGTGAATTGGCACTGATCTTGCCCGCCCAGCTACTACCCCCGCCCGGGCTTCCAGCGCCCGCACACTGACGGCCCCGCCAGTCGCCAGTCGTCGCCTTCACCAGCACCCTCGCCCGCTTCGCAATCACAGACGCCCCCAAGCACCCCACCGCCCACGCTCGATTATGCCCCCCATGTCTCCGACGATAAGGCCCTCACGGCCTTTGCCCAGCTGGGCGCCCTGCGCCTGAATGCCCGCCGCTGCCTCATTTCCTTCTTCGACCGCAAGGACTGCTTCCTCCTCGCCGAAGCGACCAAAACCGTGTCCCTCGACACGGGCGAGCCCGAGTTTGACGATGACCGCCTCTGCTTTGGCACCACCATCTTCCCCAAGGAGCAGAGCCTGTGCAATTACACCGTCAATCTCGCCCCAAAGTATACGACGCTGCCCTTTGACGACCCCAGTGACCTGCCCTCGCTTGTCGTAAACGACCTGAGCAAGGATAAGCGCTTCTGCGACTTTCCTTTTGTCAAGGGCCCACCCTACTCGCGCTTCTATGCCGGCGTCCCCATTCGCAGTCCTACGGGCCATAGCATTGGCACCTACTGCGTTCTCGATGAGAAGCCGCGGGATGGATTGACGCCTCACCAATTGGCCTTTCTCAAGAGCATGGCCGGCACCGTCATGCGCCATATGGAGAGAACGAGGGCGGCTGAAGACCACCGTAGGGCAAAGATCATGGTCAAGAGTCTGGGTTCGTTTGCAGAGGGCAAGAGCGGGCTGGAGAACTGGGCCCAAGATCCGTGGGACAATGATCAATCCGAGTCCTGGTCTGATCAGACGGAGACAATCGCTGCCCAACGCCAGCGTCCTGCTGCCACCACACCCACCGGACAGGAGCCACCTGTGCTTAATGGCCACAGTCACATTGACATCGATGCCCGTAGCCCTACGAACGACAGTGTGCCGCCTACCCACCAGCCACCATACACGCCAAGTTCACCCACCAGTAAGCTTACTGCCTTGGGACCCAGTCAAGTCGTTGAGCCCGTCCGACCCGACATTACCGCCACAACGTCATGCACCTCCACCAAGGACTTCCCCAAGCCCGATCAGAAGGACAGGGCGGCCCCGGAGTTGAGGGCACATTTCACGCGCGCTGCCAACATGATTGTCGATTCGACAGAGGCAGAGGGCGTGGCTTTCTTCGATGCCAAGATCAGTACTTTCGGCGGTCTTGTTGACGATGACTTCGATCCGGACCAGCTTCCCGAACCGGACAAGCCCTGTGATATTCTCGGCGCCGCTCTCTGCAAGACTGATCGCGATAACAAATCCTTGCCAAACACGGGCGAATGCATCTCCGAAAGCGTTCTGCGACACCTGCTCCGCCTCTATCCACATGGCCAGATTTTCCATCTTGACATGGACCCCTTGACCCCGTCTGTTAATTCTCCTTCGACTGGCTTGGACGAGTTTGAGTCTTCCGAT